AATTAACAATCAGATCGTGGGATTTAAAGTGTTAAACGGTTTCCCTATCATGGCCTTTCATGAGAAGAACCCCTTGGAAAAAGCAATAAAGCCTCTTGAATACATCTTGATGACCCGTCGAGAAATGTTATGTCAGCTGGCTCACGACTTATGCTAGTGTTGCAGTTTCACAGCCTGCTTATCAAAGCTTGAGTCATCATGTGTATGACAAAAACAGCACAGTAATTACGACGCTCGTACGATTTTAAGTTTTTCCCTTTGTAAGTTCACTCCAAATAAAAACATTTTTTTCATAACTTCTAATTATTCCTTTGGCTGAATGAGAAAAGGATTTTCCGAGGTACAGCCCTAAGAATAATGAATTTACAATTTATCTATTTGAAATCTCGAAATAATCTTGTCTCGCATATGTTTACCCTATTTTCTCACATGATTCACACATCCTTTTCAAACTAAAATATTTCATATTTTTAAGTCAGCTATTCAAACACACCGTTTACTCTTTAGCAGCAGCAAAATGGGTGACTAAAGATATATTTTACAGAAGAAATTCAACAACACTTTTGAGACACAACATATGCTCATGCAGATTATCAATGTATACCTCTAACTCATTTGTTTTTTTATCATGATATGAGAGAGAAGAATTATTTTGCTTCTTGAGTCAAAAGGTATTATGTATTCGCTGTATACATTATCATCTCACCTGTAATTTTTAACCCTATCATTGTTTCCGACTTGGTGGTTTTTCTCACTAAATAACAGTTGTATTTTTTCTCCTTTTTCAAGTCCTTTCGGTGCTCTGTTTTAAAACTAATGACACCTTGACTGATGATTGAGTTATGGTTAAAAGGACTGTGCGGCTATTGCAAACATTAACTAAACTTAAGGAGGCAAAAGACAATGGTCTCTCATCCAGCCGTTTGAAAAAATAAACAAAGCTGTCCAATGTTTCATTAAGTTCTGACATTTTCAAATTTTTAGTTTTAACATAGAATCATTTAAACATTTAAAATAGAGCTTTATAATCTTAATTTTGAGGACGTCACCAATTTTCATCGCTCGTTAAAACTGCACATCAGAGTTAGGAAGGTTACAAGTTTAATTTTAATGTTGGTGGTGAGAAAGAGCGAGTTTCTCAATACCACTGACTTTAATAACCTATTTCTGTTGACATAAAAAATATCGTTGCGAAGCAACTTGAAAACCGGGCAGATCCGTCAGTGATAAGAATCATTTGATGTCTTTTATCAACAGATTATCTATTTTCCTCGCGGAAGTCTGATGTAAATGGTCGAGTCTGTAGGGGAAAATAGTTTTTTGGTACACCACATTATTTTTTTTCTCTGAAAAGAAATTGAAAGCATTAATTTACCACAAAGCTATTAGTCACTGCAGGTGCCAACTCATAGAAAAAACATTGACGTGAGGGTCATTATCTTTTCATCGGAACATAACTCCGAGGGAAGTTTGGGTCCGAGACAACTCGACCCAAGCCCCCCTCCTTTACGCGACCAGAGCCAATTAGTCTCCTACATTTTTCTCGCTCCGACGCTACTCTCTCTTCCTTTTACAAACTGAACGCCTAGAACAGGCTATCGCTATCATGGTTGCTTTATCGAATCTGCAAGTTAGAACAAAGTCCGTCATTTATCGCCTGAGGTGGTGTTGGGGGGGGG